TTTAAATAAAGCTTCGAATATTATAATCTATTTTAAGATAATATATATTATTATAAAGTACTATATATTACTTTTAATCACTTTTCTCAAACAAGTAGTTACACTTTTGAGTATTAATTAGAAGCCTCAACGCATATATTTATTACCAATTACTATTTTTCTAGCTTGAGAACTGTCTCCAAGTGAAGTATACTCAGGTAGGATGAAACCCAGAGATACACAAGATACTTGAAGCTTCATTCATGAAGAGTCTTCTGTAGTATTATAAATGGTAATTATATTTTAAAAAAAAAAAATTTACTATGTTAGGGGGTAAAAGTACTTTAAACTGTATAAATTTAATTGAATAAAATTGGCCAATTACGAGAAAGTTAGCCTATATGGTAGCTGTCGCTAACTAGTTATTCACATGATTTAAACTGTCTTTGTAGATCATCCAAAGATGCAAAGGTGTCTAGACTCCAGACGCACTTATTTGCGCGAGTAATACAAACCCTTAAAAAGGAAATGGCCAATCGAAGTGCGCAAAATTTGACTGTTCCGGATCATTCCGACATGAATTCCGAAGCGAAAATACTTAAAACTAGTGTTTAAATCGACCTTGCTGCACTAATTGAAAATTTCAGAAATGAAATTTTACTTATAATGAGCAACAAACTATTGTTATAGCCTTCTAATGTTAATGCCCTAACCCAAACTTCTATCTTTACGTACTTAGTTTATTTACAAAATTCAATTTTCTTTTTTAGTTTGTGTTACTCGCACAAATAAGTAAACTTCTAGGAGACTCCTGGTGGGGTTTACAAGAAATTGTAAATTAGATCAAATGAACAAATGTAACTTGAAAATCACTCCTTTTTGTAAATTTGTGTTTATTGATACAGTAATCTTGTACATCAATTTTGTGGGAGAGCTACCAAAAATATATAGTCAGACTCCCTCTAAATGTAATCTCCTAAATGACGCTCTATGAAAAACCTCCCTAAATGCATTTCTTCTTTTGGGCCCAACTAATCTAACACTTAAATGCACGGCTGACTCAATTTTTGTTATTATCAATATAAGAACTAGTGTAACGTGAAAATCAAAACAATCGAATAAAGTGATAGATTTAGTCAACCTCAATAATATCAGCTACTTTCTTTCTTATAGAATGGAAAATCCTGAACAAAGAGAAGAAGGAAGCAGGCAAGCTGCCTTTAATTCAAAAGTTAAGTGCAATAAACAAGATAAAATTGTGGTATATATCTTAATTCTTAAATCTTTACTGATTTGAATAACACCATAAACTAACAGAAGGTATCATATTAGACATTGATAATATATTCTGACTTTAATATTTTGGACAAACCTAAACCTTGGTGGAAAAACCCTTTGGATGAATGTAGTGTGAAAGATTTAATCTCAAAGGTTAATCATTTCCAACAGGCTATAACATCAGCAGTTGATAATAAAAGCGATGAGCTTTTTTGGAAGGGATACATTGAACTTCACCTTGAACGTTATCTACTCGAATGTATTTCCGCGGAAAGCAATATTACACTCGATATTAGTTATGTAAAAAACTTTCTTTGGAAATTGGGGTTTCTAAGAATGTTTTGTGGAAAGATTTTTGTGTGTTGATGAACAGCATTTGGCTAGAAAAGTGCAAAATCTCCATAGTGCTATCATTGACACTTTCCCTTCTATCTTCTTTTCAGATCTTCAAATAGATCGCTTTACACCTGAGTTTGCAAAGCAATTGCATCAAAAAATTGGAAACAGATTAATCAAGAATGCTGGGCAGTACAAAATGAAATTTGTTATGGCTGTACAAGAAAACTATATATACATAGCACCGGATTTGATAGAAAATAGAATGGAAGTATTATTTCGTCAATGTAGAGAAAAATTTGAGGACACAGACCTGCAGTTAGAAGATGCCATTAAATATGGGGCATATTTTCTTGTATACTTTTTGACAATTCACCCTTTTATGAATAAAAATGGAAGAGTAGCAAGATTGCTTTTGAGCTATCTTTTATCAAAATTCACTGTGATACCACTTTCTTTATATACAGGAGAGAAAGCACGAAATGTGTATCTACAATGTTTACACAAAGCACGGTATCAAGATCCATTTAAATCTAGCGCACTTGCAAGCTTTATACTTGAATGTGTATACAGGACATCTTATAATATGTGTATCATGATGGATATTGATATTTCAAATTAATAATAGAAATAAATTCTGTTATGGTGTGATAATATATTTTCTATTAAATAAACAAAAAAGTTTTGTTTCGGTAGGAAACTATTTATCAATATTATATTAAAAAAATGAAAGCAGATAATATTTAGATAATACATATAATTTACAATCACTTGTACCCAAAGATGTACTTTACGCAAAATAATACTCACGATTTTGTGTGATTTGCATAAGATAACATTATATCTCGTGCGAGACAAACTATCTGATTAAGAAAATTCTAATGAAATATTTATCTCATATTCTAGAATGAGTTCATATTAAATAACACACACGAATTTGCACAAGAGTTTTACACGAGATATGTCAAATATACGATAGGTTTATCACATGAGAGTTACATTTGTATGTATATTACTTGCACCATGAATGTAGCATCTCAAAGCACAATATGCACGGGAAATCTTTATAAATTTTAAAAGCAAAATTTCAAGTTCTATTGCAGATTAATTTAAAACACTTTTACTAAAATGCATCTATGATGTTTTACATCTATGAATTCATTATTCTCAAACTTCCATAAACTAGCTAATAAATCAGTGCAGGGTGTTCTAAGCAAAAATATTCCACACTCCCCAAAATTCTTCTTAAATCTTAATTCTAACCTTAAATACTAACCCTAACGTGGATATTTTTGTGTTAAAATTTTATATACAAACTTGCAAAAATTCATAAAAATATAATAAAACACATGTTATGAGACAAGTTATCATAGGTACTGCATTTTACCTCTTATAATAAGTGGGCAAATTTGAACATTTAAATAATTTGACAAAAAATAGAATATACAAAAAAATGTTTTAGAAAAATTTTGATTCAAATTGGCTGCAGTAACTCTGAAAACTCAAACCACATGTCACACTCAACAACTGCAGTGTAGCATGCACAAAATGATTCAAACAAGGGATATAAGTTTGTAAAATATGCCATTTTATTCAAGCTTTTGTATCACCTTTTTTTTAAAAAAGTGAGGCCTGGCCTTGGTCATTATTAAATAATTATGCATTACATTGTTTAAATAGATTACATGAATAATTACAGGGACCTACAGCTAGAACTAG